AAACTACTGTACCTCTGTTCTTATACACAGTGTAACATCTACCAACTTGAATATCTTACCCCAAACACATTAAGGTTTACAGTACTTGCATTTCCTGTTCAATTCCAGCCCAGAATAACATACATCTGGCAAAACCTTCACTATTCAAATCCCAGAGATGGAGGTATGTTTTGTTGTTTGCACAGACTGTGGAAGTGATATCCTTATTCTCAGAAAAATCTTTTAGGAAACTTTACTTCTTGTTTGTGCAAACAGAGGACAACAGTTCGATACGATCACTAACAGCCAGCAACCATTGTGTTTTACTTTAACACCAGTTATTTTAAAGTCTGTTTGTGTTTTTGGTTCGATACTCAAACCCATAAAACCTTAAATGCTGTTCACATCCTTTATTGCAAGTTGAGATGATAAGACTAACTGTTTGGACTCGGATAATGCATTTATCTGTTCTGGTAATGTAAAAAAAAAAAAAAGCTAAATTTTAAGCCCTTAATGTACATATAACATCAGTGTTCAGACTAATTAATAGTGGATCTGTGACAAGGAGCCAACTGACCATAAAGTGTTCTGCTCTGATTATTTTATTAAAACAACACTGTGCTGTCCTGATATCGGATTATTTTTTCAACTAAAGGGTTAATAACTGTAAGGAGTATCATGAAGCTAAGGAATAAAGTAACGGTGTGTCTGGATTTCTCCTCAGTGATATGGAGGAGATGACTAAAAGGCTTTTAGACACATTTAATTGTTGCTGTAAGAAGATTGTTAGTAAGGTTATGGGTAGATGCTGTGGTTGTCATGGAGATGGCAATAATCTCTCTTCCACTTTGACTTCAGTATTAAACTTATTTTAAACATTGGAACGTGTCAAGAGAGCATAGGAAAAAAAGGTATGAGGTAGGAAAGCGATACAGCTTTATCTTTAGTGGTCTCCACAGCAAGTCATCCTCCTCCATCTCAATCTGTCCTCTGCGTCCTTTGTCCTTACTCCAACTTTCTCCATGTCAAGTCAAGTCAATTTATTTTTATAGCACATTTAAAACGGTAACTGTTATCAAAGTGCTTACCAAAAAAGATCACAGCATCAAATATTAATAACAAGATATTACAGCAACATGAATAAAAGCATAAAAACATGAAATATAATGAGAAACAATGAAATACTAAATCTAATCACCCTGCGTTATATGTCAGGGAGTAAAAGCAAAATGGATGAACACAATCATCAACAATGAAATACCAAATGAGATCACACTGTGTTAAATGCCAATGAGTACAGATGTGTTTTGAGGAGAGATTTAAAAATAGAGACTGAGGTGGCCTGTCGAATGTTGATGGGCAGATTGTTCCAGAGTTTATGGCCCATGACTGAAAACGCCAGATCTCCTCTGAGCTTCAGCCTGGTTTTTGGTACGGCCAAAAGCAGCTGGTCTGATGATTTCAAGGCCCGAGAAGGAGAATAAGGATGAAGGAGGTCAGAGAGGTATGAGGGTGCAAGGCCTTTAACACACTTAAATGTCAGCAGAAGAATCTTAAAATCAGCTCTGACACGTACAGGAAGCCAGTGAAGAGGACAGAACTGGAGTAATGTGCTCAAACCTGCGAGTTCCTGTTAGTAGCCGAGCTGCAGCATTTTGGACAAGCTGGAGACGTGAGAGAGAGACCTGACTGACCCCAGCATAAAGCGTCCTCTCTAACTGCATCCATATATCTCCTCTTTGTCATTTTGTTGCATGTCAATATACCCAGTGTCCCTCCTCTGGACATGTCCAAACCATCTCAGTCTAGCCTCTCTTACTTTATCTCCCAGTTGTTCAACCTGTGCTGTACCTCTGATGATCTCGTTCCTAATCTTATCCATCCTTGTCACTCCTAAGAAGAACCTCAACATCTTCATTGCTGCCACATACAGTTTCGAGTGCATACCTCCACCTCTCCAAGTTCTCTTCCACCTGTTCCCTGTTCTCACCACAGATCACGTCATCTGCAAACATCGTAGTCCACAGGGATTCCTGCCTGACCTTATCTGTTAATCGGTCCATCACCAGAGCAAACAAGAAAGGGGCCCAGAGCCGATCCTTGATGCACTCCCACCTCCACCACCTTGAAGCTATTTATCCCCCCGCCATCTCACCACTGTCCTGCTGTCCTCATACATGTCCTGTACCAGTCCAACATACTTCTTGCTACTCCAGATTTCCTCATGCAACACCACAGCTCCTCCCTCGGCACTCTGTCATATGATGGTTACGTCTTCCTTTATATTCTCTGGAGAATGTCACATACATCCATACTGTTTAACTTTTCCTGCATTACACAAGAAAATGAGCTTGTTTGGTGGCCTCTGTTGGTGGAAGCATTCAGGCCTGAATTAATTAGAATGACTGCTGAGCTTTTATTGATTAAACCCATGTCATCTGACACATGGGCCACTGAGGGCTTTTCACACTGAACGCAGAGCATTTATTGTGCAGCGTTGCACTCAGCCAACCCTGGCTCATTTATTACAGGGGAAATTAAATGCAGTGCGGCCTTTGAGAATTCTACAGGCCTGCTGCTACATTATCCATTAATTTGAACTAGCATAAGCTGAATAAGTTCACTGATTAGAAATACTTGGGGGCAGATTTTACCATCATTTCCATTTACCATTTGATTGCTGATCACTAACAGCCCTTGTGAGGTGAAACTCTAAAACTGTGTTCATCTGTAAACAAATGTGCAACCTTCTTGTTTGGATAAGGGCTAAAGAACTGGAAGTTAGCACAAGAAGGATAGCAGATATTTTGGTGATCAAAAACAGTGGAAAACACTGGTGTAGCTTTGATCCTCATGATCAGTCCCTTAGTCTTCTGTCATCGGGGCAGTACAAAGTTCATTCACCAGCAATCTCCACTGTGGCAGATCCTCAGCGAGATGGGTGAGGGCCAAAAAAGGGAGCCCTGTCCAGGTACGAATGTCACGTGTTCATTGAGGAGGGGGATCCCCCCCACATTTGTGGATTCCTTCAGCCTTTCCTTGGCATTCCCTTGGCCCTCAACATATGAGTAAACCATTTCAGTTCCTTCCTTTTGATTTGCGTTAAGGAGTTCATGAACTCCATTGAAAACATGAACTCTATGGACCTCAGTTGTAGTGTGGGAGGACCAATGGACCTGTGGCAGATGTCAGTAGCTGGTCACTATAATACAGGTGTTAAAATGACAGACTTATTTGTTCATGTATTCAAGATTAGATCCTTTAGATACTTTATGAATAAACTTCACATCAGCATCTTAAGTATTGGCTTCTAAGTTTAACTACATTCAAGTTTGTTATTGATATTTATGATCCAGATTTCAACAAAAGGAATAATTAAAACCTGATATAGCCAACTGTTATTATTGATTTTAAACTCAATGCACCAAGTAAATCAGTAATCGAGTCCAGCTTTTATCACTTGAGACAACTGGTCAAAGTCGAACCATTTTGAGATTTTACTCCATACTTTTGTCACACTGGCTCCCAGTTTGTTTCCAGACTAATTTTAAGGTTCTTTTATTGTTTTTTTAAACGTCTTCATGGTCTTGCACATGGTATCTGTCCGACCTGCTCCAGCTGCACATTCCTTCGCGCTCTCTCAGATCAGCAGATCAGTCACTGTTGGTTGTTCCAAAATCAAAGAGGAGGTTGAGAGGTGACCGAGCGTTTTCAGTCGTCGCCCCTAAACTGTGGAACGAGCTGCCTTTGCACGTCAAAGAGGCCGACTCACTTCCTGTTTTTAAAATTTTCTCTGAAAACACTGCGTTTCTCCTTGGCTTTTAACTCACCTTGAGATGTTGGCTTTTATTGTTTTATTGTTTGTTGTTTTTATGATTTTAACTGTTCACTCATTTCATCATCATTATGTTTACTTGCATGTGTTTTTATCAGTGTACAGAACTTTGGTCAATGGTGCCATTTTTTTAAAATGCTTTACAAATAAGTTTTTTTTTTATTATTGTAATGGGAAATATCTTGTGGACCTTAAATGATAACCAGGTATCAAAGTAGTCTTTTACCTGTGATATCTGTTAACAGCTATTTTTCACGGCATAAAACAGAGGTGTACATGAATCCATCTTTGGCTTTTGGTAATATACTCCTCCAGGGAGAATAAACTTGCTGTTTCTGTCTGGATTGATACATTGGAGGCAAAAATGAGTCAGTTTTTATACCACTGACTTCATCTGGATGCATTATCATAAAAAAAACAGTGTAGATACTACTACTGACCCTAAGGTTTGCTCTTTTGTACAAATAGCAAGAAGGCAGGATTAGAGACATGACTGACTGGAGATTATCAGATTATTGACTTCAGACATCATGAATAAATAATCTACTAGTTTGTGTTGAATACTGTTCCACATTAGTGAATGACCTTTTGGCCCTCGTTATGTAATTAGTAGGCCATTGCTCTCTGTTCGGATTCATTTTCAATTTAATTGTGAGTGTGATGGAGAGCATCCAGACATTTGGTTACCGTGGTTACCTGTATCTGGAGGTGGCCTAGTTTGTCGGTGACTCATGTGCCTTCAGTTCAGTCCTTGAAACAACCCTTCTTCCTCTTCAATAACTTGTTCAACTTAAGGGATAGACTCGGCACCTCCAGCACACGAGCACCTGGACAGGTCTTTGCACCGCAGCACTGAACAGACTTCTGTTATGTCATTTCATCATTCTTCAAGGCAAATACTGGCACCACTTTTTTTTTTCCTACCATGCTGTTAAAACGTTTCATAATGCAGCAGACAAGTAATAAGCTACAATCAGCTTGGAGTCGAAGCCTGTTTTTCTTCTAATGGTCATAAATCTGCAGAAGCAAATAACTTCCTAACACGTTTTCTTTTAAACCCCCAGTTCTATTCAGTCAAACAAACTGGATGAATGCTAAACCACCCGGTTGGCCTCCACAGAGGATTACTGTAAGATGATTTCTGTGTCTGACCCATTCATAAATGTGCCGTCTCTCCTCACCACAGCAACTGTCCCTGCTCACTGGCCGCCGCCCTTGCCAGAGCCACAGCAGACAGCATCCTTCAGACCGACCTCTCCATCCACCACCTCAATAAGACTGTAGAAGATGGAGCTGACCCATTACCACGTGAGTTCCCCTGGAGGAATCCATGAGACCGCTCTCTGATACAAATTAGGTCTCCTTCTCACTTCATCACACACATACAGAGGCGTGAAGTCACCAGGGCTTTGTCCCAGTTCTCCCTCATTCTGTGCATTAAGTGGGCTTTGACCGCTAGAGGGCAGGAAGGAAACTCACAGCTGGAAGCTATGATGATCTTAAATAAACTTAATATGGTCATCAAAGAGAATCAAATTTTGCTTTAGTCAAATAGGTTTCTACAGACTAAAATCAGCAAATACAGTGGTGCTTTAAAGTTTGTGAACCCTTTAGAATTTTCTTATTTTTGAACAGATATGACCTAAAACATCAGATTTTTACACAAGTCCTCATAGTACATAAAGAGAACCCATTTAAACAAATGAGACAAAAATGTTGTACTTGCCCATTTACTGTTTTTATTGAGGAAAATGATGCAATATTACACATTTGTGTGTGGCAGAAGTATTTGAACCTTTGCTTTCAGCATCTGGTGTGACCTCCCCCTCCTGTGCAACAATAACTGCAACTAAACGTTTCAGTAACTGTTGATCAGTCCTGCACACCGGCTTAAAGGAATTTTAGCCCATTCCTCCGTACAGAACAGCTTCAACTCTGGGATGTTGGTGGGTTTCTTCACAATAACTGCTGCTTCAGATCCTTCCACAACATCTGGATTGGATTAAGGTCAGGACTTTGACTTGGCCATTCCAAAACATGAACTTTACTCTTCTTGAACCATTCTTTGGTAGAGTGACATGCGCTTAGGGTTATTGTCTTGCTGCATGACCCACCTTCTCCTGAGATTCAATTCATGGACAGATGTTCTGACATTTTCCTTTAGAATTCTTTGATATAATTCAGAATTCATTGTTTCATCAATGATGACAAGCTGTCCAGGCCCAGGCCTGGCCAAACTGCAAACGAGCAGTAATGTTCTTTTTGGAGAGCAGTGGCTTCTCATTCAACTCTGTCATGAACACCATTGTTGTTCAGTGTTCTCCTGATGGTGGACTCATGAGCATTATTATCAGTCAATGTGAGAGAGGTCTTCAGTTGCTTAGAAGTTACCCTGGGGTCCTTTGTGACCTCGCTGACTATCACACACCTTGCTCTTGGAGTGATCTTTGTTGGTCGACAACTCTGGGGAGGGCAACAATGTTCCTGAGTTTCCTCCATTTGTACACAATCTGTGTGACTGTGAGTTGGTAGAGTCCAAACTCTTTACAAATGTTTTGTAACCTTTTCCAGTCTGATGAGCATCAACAACTCTTATTCAGAGGTCCTCAGAAATCTCCTTTGTTCGTGCCTTGATACACTTCCACAAATATGTTGTGAAGAACAGATGTTGATAGACCCCTGTTCTTCAAACCAAACAGGGTGCCCACTCACACCCACTTTCAAGCACCACTGTAAATATTTACCAATTATCTGTAAAAATTGCATTTATTACAGAGTTTCTGGAGGTAATTTATACTAAGTTCAGTACTAAAATAATCCAGTAATCCAGTCACCATGTCCTTGACAGAGGCAGAGTCTGAAAACTTGATGGGAAATGAATCTCTTGCCTTAGCAGAAGTACCAACATAGGTAGAAATCTGCCTGGCAGCAGGGTGCTGGGACTGGATAAGATTGTTCTGAGATCCTGAACACTCTGGATCATGTGTTGTTGTGATTGATACCACTAGTTACATGGAGAACCAGTGATGGTATCAATTAAAAAAAGAGGACCCTAGAGTATGTACCAATTGCTGGGAGATAATACTACTCATCTCCTCTAAGGCATTTTACTCCAGGGTGTTGGGGGGGGGGGGGGGGGGGGAAGATTTGACTGATGGTTGAACTTCAAACTCAGGAAGACCAGCATAGCTTTTGCCTGGGTCATGGACGGCAGACCAGCTTTTCACTCCTGCAGAGTTGTTGCGAGGGTCAATGGAGTTTTGTTGTCCAGTCCATGTGTGTTTTGTGGATCTGGAGAAGTAGCTACAGGAGTATGGTGTGCCTGAGTTTCTGTTAGGAAATATCTGGTCCCTGTACAATCAAATCATTGTGTCCTCATTGGTGGTATAAAGTCAAGCTCATTCCTGATGCGAGTTGGACCCTTTCAGGGTGGACCCTTGTCTCAGGTCCTGTTTGTGGTGTTCATGAAAAAATCTCAAAACGCAAATATGGTGAGGAGATTGTCAATTTTGGGAACCTCAGGGTCTCATCTCTGTTTTTGTGCAGATCATGAAGTTCTGTTGGTGTTTCCAGTCCATGACCATAAGTGTGAACCGAAGCAGTGTTAAACAGCTGAGATGAGAGTCAGTTCCTCTAAGTCTGAGGGCATGCTTCTGAACCAGAAACAGGTGTCTCACACAGAGAAGATGAAGAATGTTGGGGTCCTGATTAAGAACATTTCTCCAGTCTGTTGTTATAAAGAATAATCTAAAGGAGTTTGTTGAGATGGTCTGAGGATCTAGATGCCTCCTCAACCCCTTGGAGGTTTTCCAGGAATGTGCCATGAAGCAGACCCAGAAATCGCTAGAGAAAATACACGTTTGATATGGACTAAAAATAACCTCAGGATTCTCCACGAGGAGTTGTAGAGTGTCACCTGTGAGATGAATGTCTAAGTTTCCCTCTGGGAAATGGTACCTCCACAAACTGACCTCAAATAAGCCAGAGATGCTATGGATGGATAAATAACTACCGGGCGCTTAAGAAAGACATCTAGGTATTTACTGACAACAGAAAAAAAAAAAGAATAAATTGAGGATTTGAGAATAATTAGGTGAATCAACAATAATAATGTCAATTATTTAAATTTGTGAAAAATCTACAGCATGTTAATCTATTAAGAATTTAAAGGTGCAAACATAATGCTCTTTCTAATTATACAAAACATCAATTTCCAAACCTGTTTTGGTTACTATAGCTTTAAATAAACCATAAGTAAACTGCACCAAACCATTAACCCCACTCAGAATCCCAGTGCCACAAAATTTAATTCCAGCAGATGTGCACTGAAGCCCAAAAACTAAAATAGCAAAAAGGCATCTCGAGCAAAGCTCTCTACAAACTCTTGTGTTGCGTAATGGCCGATCGCATCCTGTTTGTTGTTGCTTCATTGCACTTTACTTTTCATTTTATGTTGCAGCAGTTTGGCAGGTGCTGTGAGAAGCCTTTTGTGTGAAATTCTGGAGTAATACGTCCATTTGGAGAAAGAGGAGAGGCAGAACAGTCAAAGCAGTTTAATACTGGAACATTTATGTGATCATCTAAAAGTATAGGAGCGCACATCTTGAAAGGGGGATGTAGGAAACAGAGAAGGTAGGCCTAACGTTTCAAAGAACAGATGGCTAGTGAGAGGACGAAGTAAAGACAGCACAGACGGTCAAACTAGCATTACAACGTTAAATTAAAACTCTGGAACAGCCTTTGTTTTTGTCAGCACAAAGAGAACTGAAACCTCTTACAGGCTTTTTTCTCTTCCATGGTTTGGTCCAATTAATTTAAAAAATAAAAATAAAAACTTTTTACAAGTGCATAATTTTTTCTGAGGATGACGAGTTTTTACTTTCAGATTTATAACCAGGCAGGAAACTGCTCTAAAGAGCAAACAGTTTTTTTAAGCACTTAACTTGACCTGTTCTGTGTTTGTTAGAAATGGAGTCTGTGACGCTGGCCCGGTTGGTGTTTAACAGACTGTTTGAGACTTGCTGCCTCTGGCAAAAGGAGCTGCCTTTTCGCCGCCGTCCACAGCCGTACTACGAAACGTCCATCCACGCCATCAAGAACATGAGGCGCAAGATGGAGGACAAACATGTCATCATCCCCGACTTCAACACGCTCTTCAACATCCAGGTAAATATTATCCCTTTTTTCAAAGAGAGGATATTCATGCATCAAATGAAACGTAATAAATAAGTTTTGGAACCGAGCAGCGCTGTGAGAAGGCTAAATATTGCAAATGTGGCACGCCAACAGTACAACTCTTCTCCAGGAGACCTTTCCTTTTGAATGTCAAACTTTCCCGCAGGCGTCTATAGAAACCAGCTATTTTAGGTGCCTTTCATCCAGCATATGTGCCTGTACGGGTACTGTATGTCTAACTATTTATATGCGTTGGACAGACAGTAGTGTACGTGGGTAAAACTGGAGGTGTTAGCACTCCCACAGTGAGGATATTACTGCATTAATGTCACAGTTATGAGGACTGTGTTTTCTGTCTCCCAGGATCAAGAGGAACAGGCTTTCTTTGCAGTGTTCGATGGTCACGGTGGTGTGGACGCTGCCATTTATGCAGCCAACCACCTCCACGTTAACTTAGTCCATCAGGAATGCTTCAGCCAGGACGCCAGTGAGGCGCTCTGCAGAGCCTTCAAGCTGACCGATGAACGTTTTGTGAAAAAGGCCTCTAGAGAGGTAAAAAGTCTGTCTTCCTTATTATTTACTGATGTTATTGTTGCTACATTTTCTATTGTCCTTACTGCAGTTAGATTTTTAGATTAATTTATCATTTAACTTTCTCAGACTTTAATTAATTAAATAACTTAGGGCCACCGTTGCTGCTCACTGTGACGTGTATGTGTTTGGCAGCGCCTGCGCTGTGGAACAACGGGCGTGGTGACGTTCCTGCGGGGCCAGACATTGTATGTGGCCTGGCTGGGGGACTCCCAGGTCATTCTGGTCAGGAGAGGGCAGGTGGTGGAGCTCATGAAGCCGCATAAACCAGACAGAGAGGTGAGAAATGCACACAAAGAAAAACGCTACATCTGTTTAGTATTTACAGCTGAAATCTGAGTGCCGACCTCTGACAGCATAATCATCTACCAGGCAAATATGAAAGGGTTAGCCTCTCATACTGTCAAAAATTAAATGTGTTTTCTGCCATTTTGAGAATATTCTTTGTATCATCCATCCGAAACAATAGTGCTGTCTAACTAAAGCTGCATTTTGAGTGGACCATTACTTTAAGTGCATAACAAAGCACCCTCATGAGTCATTCGCTGCGCAGATGATTACCGTCATTGTGTATCTGCAGGATGAGAAGCAGAGGATCGAGGCTCTGGGAGGATGTGTGATCTGGTTCGGCACATGGAGGGTCAACGGCAGCCTGTCTGTGTCCAGAGCTATAGGTACAGAAATAGTTAATTTAAATAGATGCTTCATATTTTAAGCACAAACTGAAGTATTTTGTTACATTTTTCATGATAAAAAGTTGTTGAACTTATCTGAGAATTTAAACACCCACATTCAGCAACGTGTTCAGGCTTAAAACCTGGGTTTTTTCCTAACAGTAATAAAATCGACCCTTTAAGTCAGATGTGGGCAACGTATGGCCCAAGGGCCAAAGGTGGCCGATGGACAATCTCCATCCGGCCCTGAAAATTCTTAATTGAAAAGAAAACAACTTTTAAAAATTTGATGAAAGCTTGCATTTTGTCAATGAAACTTAAGGATATCTAAATTAAACATCTTAGACAAATACATTGAAAACCTTTAGAATAAGACAAAAAACTTTCTCACCCCTGCTCTAAGTGAAGCTACAAAATGAACAGGATTAGTGGACACTTCTTGTGTCATGAAAGTCGACCTGTCTCTTGTTTCTTCAGGTGATTCGGAGCACAAACCCTACATCTGTGGTGATGCAGACCATGGTATTTTCCCATTAGATGGCTCAGAGGACTACCTGATTCTGGCCTGCGATGGCTTCTGGGACACAGTGAGTCCAGATGAGGCAGTGCGGGTGGTCAGCGACCATCTCCAGGAGAACACTGGAGACACCACCATGGTGGCCCACAAGCTGGTGGCCTCGGCCCGAGACGCAGGCTCCAGTGATAATATAACTGTCATAGTGGTGTTCTTGCGGGACCCACGCTCTCCGATGCCCACAAGCACAGAGGACGAGGAGGAGGGTGTGGTGGAGGGGCTAGTGGAGGAGGAGGAAGTAGCAGAGGTGGAGGAAGAGGAGCAGGAAGACGAAGAAGAAGAGGATGAGGCTGTCAGGGTAGAGCGTGATGGTGGCGAGGGAGGCAGCGCTGCAGACGTCGGGGGGAAGAGCCGTGGAGGCTGGCCCCTGCAGCAGTGCTCCGCTCCTGCAGACCTTGCTTACGAAGACCGAACTGACTCATTCACGGACAGAACTAGCCTCGGTTTGCTGGGACCGTCACTGGAGGGTCGGATCTCCCTGATCCGAGGCTCACGGAAGCCCTGCTTCACCTTTAGCTCCGACCTCTCCACAGTTTCCCACAGCTACCGAGTAGAACGCCCTCTGAGACGCAGGTCATGTATCCCATTTCAGGAGCCCAGCATCTCTAGCTTTACGGACCCATTGTGGCCACAAGCAGCCACGCTGTTGGGCCCAGCAGGAAAGCGAAGCCACAGGCGTGCTTCTACTAGCCGTCGATGGGGCCGGAGGTGGTCGAGCAGATCCACGGAGCTGCTAGGTCTGATACCATCTGACCACATAGGGTGCTACTCCAACTGGAGGCCTGAGGTTGCGGTGCCTCACCTGCCTCATGATAAAATCATCTGAAGGGGTATGCCAAACCAAACCATCTCAATAATATCTTCACTCCTCCCCCCTGCCCCTCAGCTTACCCACCTTTGCCTTCAACCACACATCTTTCTTTGATAGTAAGTAGTTGTGGCTCCTACAGTCGTTACGTGACGATTCAGTCTCAGTTAGTGGACTGGTACTCTCTGTTCTAAGTCCAAGTGTTTCCAGATGTAAGCTGGTCCACTAAACACAAGCCCTGCTTGTCATTGCTTTAGGTAAAGTCCAAACTACACCCCCTCCATTGTGAACACTGGTCCATCAATATGAAGCCAGAGCTCATTGTATTCAAACTGATTGTGAAGGAAATCTTAGAAATGGCGCTATGTTATTCATTTTGAGCGGATGGAGATCATAAAGAAGACCAGGCACGGTTTAATGCAATTAACATTTCATCTGTGTCACATCAGAATAAAGACACCAAATTTGGGATTTTAAGAACATTTTAAAACCAGTTACCTGGACTCCAACTAGCAAGATTTGTTTTGGACTATGAACGGCCTCAAGTTATTAAAAAGACATTCGTTTTCATAAAGTATGAAGACACATTCAACATTTATTTATGTAACCTGGTTGCTCCACACTCTATAGAAAGAACCTATTTATTTTTAACAAACATAAAATGTATAGTGGGGCAAGTTTTGTTGCTAAAATTAAACTGCCCAAAATGGACTACACTAAAAGTTATATATCCCTCTGTACTTGTTGCACTGTAACAATTCACTCCCTTTTACTCAACAGCATTAGGAAAGTATTTAGTTTGGCATTCCGTACTGTAATTTATTGTTACTAAGCAGATAGTGTATATCCTCCCACAAACATGTTAGCTAAAAGTAATGTCCATAATGTTAACTTTGTCATGAAATACACTTCTGTAAACTGGTCCCACTAAACAGAAAATGCATTATTTGTAGCTGTACAGTATAATTGTTTCAGTCTCTTTATTGTAACTAACAGACCTTGAACTAATAAGTACACAAATACTTTTATGTCACGTTTTTTCTCTATTCAAGAGAAATTACAATCTTTCTGTCCATACCTGCAAAGAGATCACTCAGTGATAACGTTTCTCTCTCATCGTATTTAATATCATCTAGGTATAAAATGCTGGGTGAGGTAAAACGGGTCGTCAGGCAGATGTTGTGAATGTAAAGGGACTGAACTTCACATCAAGCTCTAATGGGCCATCCTGCTTCCTTTTTTTCTTTGTCCCCTCAGCAGCAATCCTTTAGAAGCAGATGAATAACATTCATACTCGAGGCTGGAGCAATTCTTGCTCTTGGTTTGTGGCACTGAAGGCACATTCTGTTCTGCCCCCCTCCCATGCAGTCAATGACCCAGCAATTATCCAGCAACAATTTGTCCACAGATAAAAGCATTTACTGCCAGATTATAAAAGATTAGAATTCACTTACCTGAATAAAAGCCTCGTATATAGTCCAGTGGTCCAGATGGGATGAACTCCTCCAGAGTTAATGGGTTTCTGGGGGTAAAGGATATGGAGCAATGTAGTTTTGTCACAACTGCTGTTTGGTCACAGGGTTTTACAAGTGCTTACACAAAATCCAGTACGAGAGGCAATTTTCAGCAGGATTGACACAATTATTCATGTTAAGGAAAGATAGCAGGAAGCTGCAAAATTGTAGATAACGTACATACACAGTCTAGATTATTATGTAAAATACTCCTATTATCATTAAGGAAAACACTTTGGCTTGGGTGGGATCGTAAACTCTGTGCCAGTATGAAGGAAATGTTTGACATTTTGAGAAAGTTGCAAAAGAGATTAAATAAGAAAAAAATCAAACCACTGTCAACATCTTTCTGGGAATTTTAATTATTCTACATTGATCTAACTTATCTCAATTATAATATTAAAATAGATATCACACTGATTAATACTGCTCACTGAAACAAATTCTCTTAATGTTATCTCATCATGACGTGTTACAGTTAACTGCATCTAAAGTAGGATTTTCTATCCATATATTACATAGAATAACCTACAGTATAAGTCTCAAAAATAAATTTCCATAAACCAAAAATACTTGTTTTCGTGGATAGCCACAGGAATATCTTTAGAACCAACTACTTGATTGACTTAAACTTTTAATTGCAATCATAAGTAAATGAATGAACAGCTAAATAAATGAGAAAAAGTAATCCAGAGAAAATGTAGACGTCAGTTCTAGTTCTAATAAATATTTCTTCATATGCAGTTGACACAAAATTTAGCACTGTGAAAGCTTTCCAATTTCATTAACAAATCTTTCAAACTTTGCGTAATTAATAATTGATAAAGCCAGCTTTTTTTTGTTCGTAGTTTTAATGACCCGGTATATTGATGAAAAAAAAGCTTAAAAATTATGACTCGCTGTGTTATCTCAAAACATAAGTTGTTTTTTATAAAAGCCTATGAAATATTACCTATTGTTTTGAAACAAAGAAACATTAGTTTGATTATTTCTGCTAACCAGAGTTGAGCTGCAGTTTGTTAGCATCATTAGCAGCACATAGGCTAAGCTAAGTTGATAGCATAGCTTCATGTGAGGCTAACCAAAGGGCAAACAGCTAACCTGAGTGCACAGAAAGGTTTACAATGAAAGTAACGCCTAAAAAAAAAAATCGATTTTACTTCTAAAGTAAATTGAAACATTTTCTCCACAATGTTTTGCTAACAGTCACAAGCTTAGCTAGCTACATAAGCTAGCAAGCTAAAGCTAACCTGTGTTCCATTTTTTGAATGGATGTGAAAAGCACTAGCTTTTTAATGTTAAAACAACTTCCAAAAAGTGACCTAAACGTTTGTACGCTTATTGATTTAAATTTCTAGGTGACATATAGTGAATTTCTTCAGGAGTCGTTTTGTGATTTCACACAATAACAAAGTTATACTTACCTCAGGAGGCTGAAACTCAGGTATGAACCAATAAACTTGTGATTTAGAAATGAGCCCGTTACCAGTCGAGCTAAATCTAATCATCTCCAGCTGCTGGGCGGCATGTAATTGAATGAAATGGCAACAGAAGCTCAACGGTGTAAAAAATCATAAATTGCATTGCAGTAAAATAGAAACTGGCCAAAGAAGTACCATAACACTAGTATTTTATCCACAAATTTACAGAATCAATTATTGAATCACAGGAAGGTAAAACATGTTTTATTTTTGAGTATTTCTCATTAAAAAAATTTTTTTTTTAAACATAATATATATTGAAGCGAGCATTTCTTTTAAATAAACCCTAAATAGCTTGTTTTACACAACAGTATTAAAAAAAAACATGATATATGCATTTTTTTTCTTTTAACAAATAATACACTAATCAAAGGGTTTGTACAGTATGATCAATATATCACTTTTTTCTCAACAACTTTAAACAATATTCAAGTGTTTATTTTTGTAACTCTTTGACAAAACCATGTTGGATGTTACCACCACGTCCTAGTTTTAACGCGAAGCTAAAACAACCATCCGCTGGATGTGCAGTTGTGTCATATATGATATTACACAGATCTGAGAGTGGGTTTGAATTTCTCACCAAGAAGCTTTCTCCTAAAATGTTCTTCAAGCTGCATGAAAGATCTCTTACACATTGTGCTTCAGCAGCTCACAGTATGGGATTAATCTCCAAGTAAATAACACTATGGTGTTAATAGTCCCTCTGCAACAATACAGCAAACATCCAAGTCATCAGCAGCCTAGTGATAGCTCCCTCTGTGTTTTCCATTGAGACTGGTTCCCACAGGAAACACTAACTGGATTTGTCTCTGGTCTGCTCCAGATTCTGCACAGGAGTACCCCTCGCTGCTGTTAAACATGGTCCACCTCAGTTCTGTCATCAGGTCATAGGAATCCTTCACATGACTGAACTTTGATGAATATCTATTGTTAAAAAAATACTCTTACTGTATATTTGTTAACAATAGTGTAACCATATAAAGTTCCTACAGCTAGTCTATGATACTATATTTAAACATATCTACCGGTACATTAAGGCTCGAGTTGTTACCTTGGTGACATTAACCTGTTAAAACACTTCTTTTGCATTAAATATGAAACTTGTTTCCGTAAATAAACATTTTGCTAACTTGAAAACTTCTCGCTTCGTATAAAAATTATTCCTTAAATTTTAAAGAATGCTTACAGGTAATCGTGTTTCTTCTACTATATTTAAACTCGATTTTCCAGTTATAAACGAACAAAAGCAAACGGGCAGTTTTATTTATTCGTTTATGCCTATGGAAATAAAATTATGAACAAACCGCAACTACAAATTTCACAACATTATTTAAAATGTTAGAAACCAAATAGCTCTAGTATGGCTAAAAACATTTGACCACAAGTAAATGAAAACAAAACTAAATAAAAATAGATTGATTAGCGTCTGTTAAGTCCTTGGATTTAATGTTATCTATATATATATATATATATATATATATATATATATATATATATATAT